GAGTTATACTTTGACATCCACATTTATTTTATGTGGCAGGTATGGCACTTTGCGTGGCAGGTCTGGTATTTGGCGATATGTAGCTGTGTTTTGCTGGCTCTGGTGGTATATATGGGTCTTAGGTGTCACCGTGGTCGCCGCGGCTTATTGCGTACCAGATATAATACTTAGCGACATATAATTACACTTTAATATACGAGAAAAAAATAAAAATTATAAATATATTAAAAATATATATTAAATAAAAAATAATTTTATAATATAATTATATAGTATTAATTTTAAAATAAAAAAATAATAATAATAATAAAATATAATTTAAAAAAATAACATAATAATTAATTTATAAATAATAAATTAATATCTAATTAATATAATTTATTTTATTTATTTATTAAAATAATTAAATTATAAAATATAAATAAAAATAATTATATTTTATATTTTTTATTATTAAAAATAATACAAACCATATTAAATCGAAAAAATACCTAAAATATATTTTAATTTTATTATATAATAATATATTTTATTTCAATAAATTATATTTATAATAAAATATATTATTTAAAAATATATAAAACATATTTTTATATATATTTTTTATTTAATATTTAAAACAATAATAAATATATGTTTTTTTTTTTATAATTATTATAATTTTTTTTATAAGATAAATTAATAAATTAATTTAAATAAATATATATATATTATAAATATTTTTTAGTCAAACATAAATAAAATTAAAAAATAAATATATAATATTATTTAAATTATTTAAAAAAAATAATTTAAAAAAAATATGTAAAATTTATTTTCGATTCAACAATAAATTTAATATATTTTTTTTTCCAAATCAAAAAATCCTAATATTTTATTTTATTTATTTTAATAATATAATAATATATTTTAAAAAATATTTAATTTTCAAATATATATTTAATAAATTTATAATATATTTATTATTTTATATATAAAAATTATAAAAATATTATATATTTTAATTATATATTAATTATAAATTATATTTAGATTTCAAAATAATTCAAAAAATATAATATAAAATATAATTTATCTACGGAAAATATATAATATATTCAAATATAATTTTATTATTTTATTCCAATTTGCAAAAAATAATTATTTTATCAATAAAATAATTAATTAAATTTTATCCATTTTAAATATATTTATTATTCTTATATTATTTATCCTTTACCTTCCTCAAAATATTAATTCAATAATCCCTATTGCTAGAATTATTGCTAAATTCAATTTATTTTCATCCTAATATGTATCCTTTCCAGTGGGTTTCAACCAACCATTTCTTGGCCCAATGCCTTGTCCTGAAAAAAAAATGCTAAACCTGATGTCTTTCTTGTTTTGAAGCTTGAATCTTCTTTTCCTTTCCCACATAATTTGATATTATATATTACATCTGTCTACTCCAACTAGGTGAGGCTAAAAAGGCACCGTCCAAAATAAGGACTTGAAATAAAATATCATGACATCGTAGGAGCAATATCTCTCCATTTTGTGGAATATTATCTAGTCCTCAAGAAGAGCTCTCCACCAATACTTCAAGACATTCAAGACCAGCACCAAATATACCTAGCTTCGGTGATCCCAACCAACTTTGCGCATTAGCAACCAATGCTACTGGAAAGGGAAGGTGGAGAGCTCTTCTTACAGCAAGCATCCCAAAGTGAAGAGGGATTGGTCAACCGGGGCCAAAATCAAACTTGGGGTAGGGGTGGAGAGCTCTTTGAAGAATTTCTCGCCGCCCCCCCCAAACAACCGGAATACCTCGCCGCCCCCCTGTTACAAATTTCTCGCCGCCCCCCAAACAACCGGAATACTTCGCCGCCCCCCTGTTGGAAATTCCTCGCCCCCTCTTCTCAGAAAAAAATGCGGAAAACCCCGGTGGCTTATCCTTGGAATCCTTTAGTGGCCCTTGGTATGGGAGAAGCTAACTGATGGCAGCCAAGTGCCCCTAATAGTCACTTTGGACAGTTCGCAATTTCGCAAGAGTACTGACTATGCTTAGTTTATTTGTAAATAAGTGGCTATATTCCCTGACTACTGGAAGTCTAGCATTCTCTTGGCCTAGTGAGGTTTGGAACAATTGTCATTAGAATTCAAATGCGCAAAAGATTCCGCACTGCTGCTGCAACTCCCGGCCAAAACTCAAAACACAAAAGCTTTGAACATGAATCCCCCGAACTTCTTGCCATCGATCAGAATCATATATTCAACACATTCATGGTGGCACTACTTCCATGTTGGTTTTCAACAAAAAACATATCCTGCTCCAACCCATACCGAAAACACCAAAAGTGTCGAAAACACTAACTTTTGTGTAAATCCCTTATGTATATATATATTAATTTATAATAATATATGTTTTAATATAAATGAATCAAATAAATATATAATTATATATATATTACAATTATTCTATAAAATAAAATAGTAATAATTTTCAATTTTATTTCCCCCGATCCTCCTAATGAATATATTTGGTAATTTCTTAATCGTACTATTCGCCTTCTATGTGCGGCTTATCGCTGCAAAAATTGCTATCACCACTTAAAGAGCCGACCATTTTTCTTTCCCTAGCCGTCTTCCCCGCAGGCTACAGCAGTTGTCCCCTCGTGGTAATAAATTCAATGTCGAAAACCGATTGAAACCTGCAAAAATGGGAAAACATGTGAGGTAGTTATCTGCTGCAATTTATGGTTCCTCAATTCTTGATCTTGATAACATTTATTTGATTGATCTTAGATAATGGACAGTGATTCATTGAATAATATGGTATGTTTTTCATTTAATTCAATCTTGATCCATTGCCATTGCAATGAAAACCCAAATGCTCAAGACCTGGGAGAAGTGTCGAATTCAGAAGTCACAAATCCCCGAAACCGTGTCCTTCAACATCTTTAATTGGTTTTCTTTGAAATTAAGCTACCCCCGGATTTGATTCTGATCATTCTTTCATCATCTTTCATCTATGTAACAAATCAGGGATAGCCTACATATTTCATTCATCATTTACCCTCTGGTAACATAGGCCCTGGCAGGTATCTATGGGTCAGCTGGTGCTTCCAGGCTCCACTGGGATCCGGCACTCCGGATGCGTAGGGGAACACCTTCACCTGGAAAATTCCCCAGGGCTCGCGGGGGCTCATTCCGGGCTTCTCCTTCTACAGCTATTTGCAAAGATGACTAAATTATCTGATTTATATATATATATATTATATTATGGGTTAAGTAGGGTTACCCAGCGCAGATTTCTTGGATGTGGAGGGTACTATTGATTTCATCAACCAAAAGGGGAGTTCACAAGCAAAACGTTGGACTATATGGGAATCTAAACAAGACATTCAGATCTATCCAGCGAAGTTTAATTGACTCACTAAGTATCGTTATTTGTCAATGTTTAAATCCAAAGAGTTTGCGGATTTGATCCGTTTTGAATATTAACAATCCAAGTATTCGAGTATCCAATCATCATTTGAAGAATGGGTGATGCTGGACGTGTGACAACTTGCTGTCAACTTGTTCCCATGCCAGCGTGGAGGAATCAATGCTTAAAAACACAAGAAAAAAACCATACCAGGATAGTAGGATACCATTTGTGCAATAGCGCAACAGCAAAATACTTTTTCAAAGCAAGGCTCTGGAATCTTGATATATTTTGTTGGGGGTCGCTATGTACCCTCTGATAAACATACAAAAAACTATGGAAAATCTCCATTTTTAATGGGTAAATCATGGTAAATCAACTATAAATGGCAATTTTCAATAGCAAACTGTCTGTTTACCAGAGGGCACCCCCTGGTAAACAAACGTGGCGATGGAAAATTCGCTGTTTGTCCTTGATTTTCCCAGCCCACCTCCATTGAGAGAGGGCATTTTCCAGCCATGTTTGATTACCGGAGGTAATCCCATCCCATTAGTTGTTGCTTATTTCAGATGTTGAAATTCAACATAAATAAATACACAAATAAAAATATATACACAGTATGAGATATATATATATATTAAATATTATATTATATTATATTATACTATATTATATTATATTATATTATATTATATACATACTATGTTCCATTTATATCATCAAATGAGATATCCCACTTGGTTGCATCATTCCTGTAATTGATTTTACACCCCAGCAGAATCCGAAAAAGCTCACAACAAAACACCCGGCCTTCAGCGCGTAGTCAGCGCGATCGCCACCGAGCTCCACGATCCGGGACTGCTTCACGGTGTCCCAGATCAAACTATGAGCAGGGCAGTCAGGGGCGTTGAAGGAGACAACCATGGTGATGTAAAGGGGATGTATAGCCTACCATAGTGATGCTATGAACTGGGAGAGTTGCAGGAAACGCGTTTTTTTTTCTCCATCGTTCTTACCCCTTTTGACAAAGATCTCCTGCTAAAAGAAGCCCTTCCACAATTGAGAATGAATAACAGCCAATCAACTTGGTAACACTGAAACCATTTAAGAAATCATTTAAATATATTGCAGTATGAATAGGTCCTGCACCCATGGGCCAGCCTGGTTGCAAATGATCTATATCTATACAGAAAAGGGTTTTCCATGCGAGCTTGGGAAACTCACAGCCCCACGCTGGCAGCCTGTAGTCCTTGTATGGCTCGTTGAATGGCACCCCGAAAATCGTTCGCCTCAGGAGGTAACCAAATATGAATGATGTCTTCAAGGAGCAAGGTGGAAAAAATGGATTGTATGGAAATAATTGGAAATATATGGAATACCCTCAAGTTTTCTATATTTTCTCAAGTCTTTTTGTGTCACTTCCCCGTTCAGGACAGTTTCAAGCGCAGCTGCCTGAGACGACCAGAAGATCAGTGGCATACCATATTAGGCCATGGCTAGGCATGGCTAGGCCTGGGCAATGTATGGCAATCTCATGGTTTAATCCTTTAGATAGGAAACATCTTTTGAAACCACCAGTCAGTTTCACGCCTTGGAAATGCGCCATTTTCGTGGCTGAAAGTTCTGCCGAACTGTTCACTAATTGATGGTTTCAACCCCCTGAAAAATATTAGTCAGATTGGATCATCATCCCAACTATTGGGGAAAATAAAATTCATGTTCCAAACCGCCAGCCAGTTCAGATCTTCGCATCTTGGCGTTCGCACCCCGGTCGGCCGACCATGCGGAAGTCGTTCTCGATGTCGTTCATCTGTTCCTCGATGGCCTTTGCAGATCATGCCACGAACACCACGGAAGTGGACTGCAAGTGATGCCCTGAAAGCAACACACCTGTACAAAGTGGGGCCCCTTAGATAGCTAAGTTGGTTTATAACTCCCAAAACTATGGTTTATGGATGTTTATGGTACTTATAACTATAATGGGGTTTATAAACCCATTTACAACTAGGGGGCACCACATTGTAGGGACTTCATGGGAAATTATGTGAGAAATGATATGGAGATATGCGGAGATGTCTGCGGCTTTGAAAGGTTCACACCCCATAGGGCGAAGAAAACAAAATCGAGATACTTCGATCATCATCCCAAATAGGACAGAATACAAGAGCAACATGCTGGAAAGCACCCGCATGTCAAGGAAAAATATAAACGATGGCCGGTGGTTTGGGGCTTGACTAGGCTCTAACAATGGGCTATCCCAATGATCCCTGACCGGAAACAAACTCTGCGACTTCATCAAATCCGTCGTCTCAGATCTTCGCACTTTTTTCATTAGAGCCCTTTGAAATGTAAATGCAAATAAAAACACGCACGGACATGCTTCATGTCGGAACACGACGCCTGAACATGCCTGAACTAGCTTCGCTATGCCGCTATGCTTCGCTTCCCATCCCACCTCCCGCGTGATGGGAGGAACTGCCGAGGACCTGGCAAAATGAATGGATCCAGTGGAGGATTAGTGGAGGATTAGTGGTAGATCCTGCTTGGCGGTTTCTTGCTTCCAAAGCGTGGGATGTATTGACGAGCTTGGCCAAGCAGGTTGTTTCAGGAAAGCCAAGTTGAAAGGCTATTTGTTGATCATTGGCTGGTTCTTTCACCGCTAGTCCTTCTTTTCGCCCTATGCATAGGATATTGGAATCAATGTGGATGAAGTTGAGTTAAGCATGGTTAAACCAACTAAATCTGATTGGTGGTTTGGAACATTTTTAATTTTTCCATATATTGGGAATCATCATCCCAACTGACTAATATTTTTCAGAGGGGTTGAAACAACCAACCGGTAATGGGTATGTCTGGGAGAAAATATATACATCAACCATCATGGGTGTGCTAAATCATCGGGGGCTCATCTATAAGTTGCTGGTCAGTTTATGTCATGTTAAAAACTGGGAACCAATGATTTTGGGTCCTCAATTTGAAGAAGCCCGTTGTTGGGCTGGAAGCGTCTCCTCAAAACGCTCCCTGCCTCAGAGGGAAGACGGACTGCACCCCACCATGCCGTCGTGAACCTGGGGTTCAGCCCCGGCAATTGGAAGAACATGTCATATTTGTTGACGTTTGAGGGAACGCTGTCCCAACCCCAAGAAAAACATGTGCATGTAGCGCATGTATATAGATATATATCGGTGTGTTTGTACATACATACATGCATTGCATTGCATTGCGTTGCGTTGCGTTGCGTTGCGTTGCGTTACATTACATTACATTACATTACATACATAATCATACATACAAACATAAATATACATATACACATATATATATAAACACTATATAGTATACCTGGAACCCGAGTGACACTAATTTTGCTGAGTTTGACCATTTTTGACCCATAAAATATAAGTTTCACATGGCTTAACCCTCCAGGACAGGAAAGTCATTTGGGTTCAAGGAAGAAACATCCACGGAGCCTTGGGCCAGTTCAGTCATGAGGTATTTTTGTCACACAAGTATATGTTATATATATATAGACATATTATATATACATATATATATAGGGATATTATATAGATATATTAAATATATTTTATATATTATTATATATATATATTATATATAGACATGTGATATTATATATATATATATATTATATATTATATATATATGTATGTGTGTCATATAATGTTATATGTATTTATATATATATATAAAGTATGGATGACATGCAGGATGAAATCCGCTCATAAATTACATATCATGACATGTTCATTCCCAGTCCTTAGTTTCAGAGCCTCCCACCTTCCAGTTTCTGCACCTAGGCTCTGGACATTTGGAAAACATCTCCAGCTTCTCCAGCAGTTGCCCCAGCCTCGGCTTTTTCAATAATGCAGCTGCAGCTCACAGGAGTTGCAAAGTCTTGTAGTAAGGTATTGTGGTTCTACAAATTGTGGAACAAAAGTTAAAAATAATGAACCTACCGAACCAAGGTTTATCGCGCACCAGTTAACAACCATGTTTCACGCATTCCACCTGCATCATTTGTTGTTGCCAAAACTGTCAGATCTGTCAGCCAAGTCCGGACCCATTCTGAAGCAGCGGCTTCTCTCCAATGACGTGGTTGAAGCTGGTGCTGTAATTTTCCTTGGTCTCCGGTGGTCTCGCCACACATCAGGTGAGACGCAGGGCAGTTCTAGGTGCTTCAAGCCATCCCGAAAGATTAAGAAAGATTGTATGGAAAGATTCAATTATATACAATATATATATATAAATATACAGTATATATATATACACACTGTATATATTCAAGAAGCTAGGATATGTTTAGGATATGTTAGCATGATCATCCCAAACAGGGTTGATTCTCTTTCAAGAATGAAACCACCAAGCCGTAGCACTGGGCAGGGCCTGAGTCATCCACCAGACCTTCGCCCTTGAGCCCAGCTCGATGACCGATGATGTCTTGTTCCAACCTGACTTTCAGGGAAGAAAACTCGGAGAAGCAACGGGATGGAACCCTCGAAAAAGTGTCATCTTCGCCATGACCTCCAGTGAAAACATGGTGAAAAGCAACACTTTCTACGTGGCCCCGGCTGATTTTGGAGCATGCTCTCAAGCTTCGAAGCCTGTCCAGGAAATGGGGCGGCCGGCGAACCGCAGGGTCCATGATCTCGGACCCCCCAGGAACGCAAAAAGGAGATGGAAGTAATCAAAACCACCGGGAAAAATTGAGACAACGAGCTGGTAAATCCATGTAAACCCTAGATATCCCCTAGCCGCAGCACGGAAGTCTTTTACATGCATCAACGTATCCACGTCATTCGAACAAGTTCCGATTTATATGCAACATAGCTTGTTTCTTGATATACAGCTCAGACAAGGCCTGTCCCACGTCCACCGGCTGATACTTGAGCGCTTCAGAAGGCTCCTGTTGGAAAAGATCATTCCCAGCTGGTGTACTAAGGCTGGGGGAGCCAAAAAAAAAAACATACTTGAATTTGAGCTGAGATTTTTTAACCGTTTTTACACAAATCCATGAGGAGCGCAGCACCAATAACATCGGGCCAGGCACGGGATGACCATTTTCCTCTGACAAATTGTGGTCTTGGCTCCAAACGTGGCATTTTTTGGCAGCCACGTTTAACTGATCAAACCATTCAATTTTGGTGGCTCAATACTTGAAGACATTGTTTGAACCGTATCCCAATCATCGCAAAATTCTGGGGATATGCAAAAGGTGTAAATTTGACATTGCCAGCCAGAACTCTCCAGAGCAGGAAGTCATGAGAAAACAACAAACTTTCATTGATATAGACAGAAACTTGTGCAAACCCACCATTTAGTTCGATGATTGTTCTATAGACAGTCTATAGAATGTGGTTTCGCCCGGAGAAGAGCTCAAAAAATAAATCCACTTTCTAATGGATGCCACACCTGTTGTTTGAAAGGAAGAGAGAGACATTGTCCTCTTCAAGATGTCCACCACACGACCAAGCCAATCATGTTTCACTGGGCTTATGTGGCCCTTGATGCCCTCTGATAGTCAGACCTGGTAACTAAGAATCCCAACAGGAATGGCAAGGTTTCCGATCAACTATCATCAAATTAAATCAGATTAATCATAGGATTCTCCTACCCAGGTCAGGTTTTTTTTGGGGGACTGTAGGGGCTGCATTGGAGGTTCAAGGAGACGACTTTGGATTTTGGAATCTGTGGTCGCCCGATCAGAGATCAGCATGGTTCCGTGGGCAGTTTCAACACGTCAACAAAAATGAGTTGAGAACATCTAGGCACTGTAGGGCCTAAACATCAGTTTGATGCTACCAGCCAGTTCGTTGAATAGGTTTGGGCTAATATCCCCACCAAAGATCATCTGTCCTTTTCTCAGGCCGCTACACCGCTGCCATCCCTACCATATGCCTCTAATAGGCATCTGCTGTGCACAGCAAATCTGTTGCTACAAATGCCCCAGCTGAGCCCTGACACTAGTAATGTCACCGCCATAGGCCGGATCGCCCCATGTCACAACGCTGCCATCTCTTAAAATTGCAGCAAAAGCGCAGCATGTAGCATGAATCTCCAGAATATTCCTTAGCTGGTCCCTGACTCCGGCGCTGTCCCCGCCATAGCCAGGGTTGCCCCACGTCACCACGCTTCCATCTGCCAAAATTGCAGCAAAAGCTCTGTTTGTGGCATGAATCTTCTGAACATTCTTGAGCTGATCCTTGACTCTGGTGCTGTCAGCACCGGAGTTCGGACTGCCCCACGTCACGACGCTTCCATCTGCCAAAATTGCAGCAAAGGCAAAATATGTAGCGTGAATCTTCTGAACATTCCGTAGCTGGTCCCTGACTCCCGCGCTGTCGCCGCCATAGTCAGGGTTGCCCCACGTCACCACACTTCCATCCGCCAAAACTGCAGCAAAAGCAAGACTTGTGGCATGAATCTTCTGAACATTCGTTAGCCGGTCCCTGACGCTAGTGCTGTCGGCACCATATTCAGGGCTGCCCCACGTCACCACGCTTCCATCTGCCAAAATTGCAGCAAAAGCTCTGTCTGTGGCATGAATCTTCTGAACATTCTTGAGCTGAGCCCTGACTCCGGTGCTGTCGCCACCAGAGTCTGGATCACCCCATGTCACAACGCTTCCATCTGCCAAAATTGCAGCAAAGGCAAAAAAAGCGGCATGAATCTTTCGAACATTCCTTAGCTGGTCCCGGACTCCTGCGCTGTCGCCGCCATGACCAGGGTTGCCCCACGTCATGACCTTTCCCCCTGCAAAAAGTGCAGCAAAAGCTCCGTTCGTTGCATGAATCTGCTGAACATTCCTGAGCTCATCCATGACTCTGGTGCTGTCGCCATCAGGGTCCCAATGGAACCAATGGCCAGGTGATACCCATGTCACAACGCGGCCATTGGCCAAAATTGCCGCAAAAGCAGGTCGAATGGAGCGAGTGGCATGAATCTGCAGAACATTTCTGATTTGGTCTTGGACTGCTAGCGTGCCCACGTCTTTGCCCCAGGTGACAATCCTGTCACCTCCATCACACCACAAAGCCATGGTGCCCCCTGTTGCAACCACTTTGGGCTTCTGCGCAACAGCAGTAATTCTGTCTCCGTTTTGAAGCCCGGAATCTTGAAGAGGTTCTGTCGGGTTCAAAAGGCATCCGTCCGGGGCAGCAAGCCGGAGGAAACCTTGACCCAAAGCCTCCTGCGCAGCCAGTTTCAAATCAAAAATGGTGCCGCCCACAGGAAGCGATAGAGCTGCACTCCTCCCACTGGGCAATGACACATTCAGTTGCATTGACCCTGCGTGCCTTGTGTTTTCAGGCTCCATCGCCAATTTGGCTCTGTAACTGGATTGCTGGCACAACTAGATTTGTGATTATATGCAACAGGCAATTTGCAACTCGAACTCAACTATCATGGATAAAGGGCAATGGTGGCTATTCTAAACCTTGAAACCATGACGTGATCGCATACACGTCAGGGTGGAACTTAAATTTTCCCGGCATGCTACTGCATGATCAAAGCAGCAAAACTATTCAGTTGGGGCGTGTTTGGGTTATCCGGGTATCCCATGACGAAGCGGCACCACATTAAAAAATATGTGTCCTATTATCAGTGGTACGTTTCCTGTCTTTATTGCTCTATTGATCCCAATTCTGACTTCAAATGGATGCATTTCTCAGTATGTTCATGCAACTTTCTAGCGGAAACAAAACACTTGCGCACTCACATTTGAAAACAAAATGGCTGCAATAGGAATTGGCCAGCGCACAATCCACCTTAGGCGAACGATGCCCCCATGCCACTTTTCCGGAGCTGTGGGTACCCTGCGGTGATCGAACATTGCTATGGCAAGAGAAAAATGCGCATGATATACAAAAATACAAACACATCTACATGTTCCATTGTCATGTTTGTCTTTTGACACGTTTGTCATCATCCAAAAAAATGCCTATGCCACAGCCAATTTCTATTGGTGCTTGGGGCTGGATGTGCAGGACATGCCAGATCACTATCACGCACCGGTCATGAAGAAATTCAAGGAGTCGGTTGAAAGGACAATGGGAATTGGACGTGGCCCGTGTCTGTTTGGGTCTCTGGTGGACTCTGAAGACCCTCCTCCAACTGCCAGCTGCGGGAGAAATCGGCGGCTTCTTCCCCTGCCGCTGTGGATGGTGATTTCAAGCCCCCTCAGTTTGAAGTTCAGTATCAGAACATAGCTTGCACCATTGGCTGCCAAACAATCTCATAGTAATTTCCAACCACGAAAATCATCTTCCAACCCATGATCTGGGGATGTCTGGGGTTTCAAAAGCGCAGTCTGCAAAAAAAAATATTCCAACTTCAATAAATCACATGATTTTCGTTTAAACTCGTCATTTTCACATGGTTTTCACCATGTTTCACCCACGTTTTGGGGTCCCCGCCCCGCCAACCCCCGCCAGTCCAACGTCGCCGCCTTCGGGGGTCGCTTGGCCGCTGAGCCGTCGCAGCTCGCCGCGGCGGAACAAAGGCTTCCAGCCTCGTGGGCGGGAGAGGTCGGTTGCTGCTGTGTACATAAAGGTTAATAATGATGATTAATGGTTAACCCATTAATGGTTAATAATGGGTTAATAATTATAGTTAGTAATCATTAATGGTTACTAATGGTGCTTAATGGTTAATAATGGTTAATAATGGGTTAATAATGGTTAATAATTGGAATAATTTGGTTAAAACAATGTCATAAACCACCCATGACTGGGAATGGTTTATACCGCCTATAAAAATGGTGATGCGGAGGATGGTTTATTTATTGTTTTAATCACATAATATATATATATATATATGTAAATATAATAGATAGATAGATAGATAGATAGATAGATAGACAGATAGATAGACAGATAGATAGATAGATAGACAGGTAGATAGATAGATAGATCGATCGATCGATCGATGAATAGGTAGATAGATAGATAGGAATAGGACTAGGACTAGGAATAGGAATAGGAATTAGGAATAGGATTAGATAAGACTAGATAAGACTAGATAAGACTAGAAAAGCCTACATAAGACTAGATAAGACTAGATAAGAGTAGATAAGAATAGATGGGAATAGATAAGAATAGATAAGAATAGATAGGGATAGATAGGAATAGATAGGAATAGATAGGAATAGAAAAGAATAGATAGGAATAGATAGGAATAGATAGGAATAGATAGGAATAGATAAGACTAGATAAGACTAGATAAGAATAGATAAGAATAGATAAGAATAGATAGGAATAGATAGGAATAGATAGGAATAGATAGGAATAGATAAGAATAGATCAAGGAATAGATAGGAATAGATAGGAATAGATAGGAATAGATAAGAATAGATAGGAATAGATAGGAATAGATAGGAATAGATAGGAATAGATAAGAATAGATCAAGGAATAGATAGGAATAGATAGGAATAGATAGGAATAGATAGGAATAGATAAGACTAGATAAGATTAGATAAGATTAGATAAGATTAGATAAGATTGGATAAGATCGGAAAAGATCGGAAAAGATTGGATAAGATTGGATAAGGTTAGATAAGATTAGATAAGATTAGATGAGATTAGATAAGATTAGATAAGATTAGATAAGATTAGATCAGATGAGATAAGATGAAAGATGAGATAAGATTAGGTAAAATTAGATAAGATTAGATAAGATGAGATAAGATGAGATAAGATACGATAAGATAAGATAGATAGATAGGTAGATAGATAGATAGATGGATAGATATCTAAATAGATAGATAGATAGATATCTAAATAAGATAGATAGATAGATAGATCGCATAGCCCAAAAACATGAAACAACAAACTAAGCACACACGCTTTGGTACTTTCCATAGACATGTAAAAAAATACGCAGTCCCGGGCTCCAGACGTCGCTGATCCGAGAGATTCCAGCTCATGGCGGCCACACCCTTATGCGTATCGCGGCTACTCTCGCCTCAGGACCCGGTAACCCGGTACTCAAACTGCAGGGCTTGAGACACAGCTTGCGGCACAGTGCCACACCCTTATGCGAATGAAAAATACTGGTTGGTGGTTGACCTGGTTGACCTACCCCTCTGAAAAATATGAGTCAGTTGGGATGATGACATTCCCAATATATGGACAAATGAAAAATGTTCCAAACCACCAACAAGTATATGTTGTGTGTTAGTAAATCTACATGGTAGGGGACCACTTGTTTGTCCAGCTATTCCAGCAGCTGTAGATGTTAATCAGTGAAGAAAAAATGGGACATGCTCAACAATTGGAGTTGAGTTGGAGTATTCGCGTGATCATTGGGGTGATTTGAGGGAAAGCTGTGGGAAACCATGGTTTCTCAACTCAGTTCTAGTGTTCCTGTACTAAATAATCCATGAACTTTTATTTGAACACAATGAACTGTTGGTAATCAATAGTATCCATTGATTTGTATGAACCAACAAGCTAAAATGGGGCATCATCAAAGAATTATATAAAGCATATTAAATAAATATATATACATACATATAATGTATATATATATATATACATTATATATATATATATATCTATGTACACATCAATTTGCTATTCACAACGGGCTGGCATCGACCAACCACAACGACGGCAGTGGTACCAACATCCCCTTGTGATTAATCGGACCTGACGGCGAAATTTCGCCTTTCCGCTGCCACAGCAGCCATGGTTCAAGCTGTCGGACCTCTCCAAGATCCAAGCAGCGCATCATCTGAGGTCCAAACGTTGTAGGTTGGCCCACACCTTGGCCCCGTCCAACGGTGAAGGTTTTCGGAGTTTTCGGGAAAACCCATGGATTCTCCGATTGCCCCATGATTTTTCATGGGGCTCTCCTAGTAATTATTTAAATTCCAGTGAAATACAGAAGATGGTTTCGGACTTGGATCATGTTGGATGTCATGTTCATTTCAGGATCCCTGTTTTGATGCTATCTAAAATGAGTGGGGGTCATATCACTGAGGAAATGTGAGATGTTAGGTCCAGATCCAAGCTTTAAACTCTAAACACCATGCCGTGGCGCGGCAGCTCTGAATATTGGGACATTACGTGAGCAGTGTCAACAACCTATTGGTAAATGGCTTGTATTAGCTAGTTGCTAGGGATTCCATACTGGAGCATCACAAAAGCCACAACATCGGGCTTTGTAAACCCCGAACTTGTCATCAAGCAACGCCAGGGTTTTTTGGAAACTGCTCAGCTATGGATGGTGGATGTCAACCTTGGGAATCCTCCAGTCAACTCAAATGGAATCCTCCATGGAAGATGCCATGATAAATGCCAATGACTCGAAATCGCAAACCGAGGTGGTGCCACACCTCTTTACATTGAAACATTTATAGGTCTGGGAGCAGGAAAAAAGAAGACACCTCGGGTCAAAATGTCAAAAATCAAGACCAAAGGATGCTCAACATTAGTTCTGTCCCCTTTAAAAGGTCTGCACAACCCAACAGGCTACCCTACTTTGGTCTGATACCCAATCCGCGAGATGGGCCGAGCAACGTTCTCAGCATTGAATACCATATGAACTTTGCGGATGGGAATTGTCGATGAGGCCTGTGGAACAAGGCAGGTGTCATGATCGGATTCGTTGCTGTCGAAGGCACAGGGGCGTTGCACCATGGAACGCATGAATCCTTGATGAAGATTCATCCCCAAATGCGAAGTTGCTCCCGGTTAAGCAGAGAATCTAGATGATGATACAATAGATCATGTAATTATGTGGGATGGGCACCAATGGGCACCATAGCAACAAACACAAAGTTTCAGCAAGTCCCTGTTGGTCAACAGACTGCTAGAAAATCATGATCACCCCGATGAACGGCCAGCTGGATCTCGGGTGCCCTACTGTGGTAAACCAAAGAAACCATCCCCACTATTATGAGTCTTATAAACCGTCCATATTTGGAATTTTGTTTTATTGGTGGTTGCTGATTTCCCCTGCAAACCATATAATTTGGAACCACCATCCCAAATATCATCAAATATATGGCAAAACATGTTTCAACCAACCCCCCAGTATTGGTTTCAACACACTAGCCACCAATCAAACATGGCAATGGCAAATCTGCCATATGTCTAGATGATTTTCCCAGTGAAATTCCCACTGAAATCTACATTTATAGACGATTTCCCAGCGATTTCCATAGCGATTTCCATGTTTGATGACACCGATTCGGGCATCCCCAACGATCTAAGGCTCGGGGTCGTTCGCCTCCGTCAGGACCTTGGGTCCAGTGTCCAGCGATTCCTGGCTGGGATCCACCGAGGGAAAATATATCTGAGTGGTCGTTCTGTGAAGGCATTCCGGACCATAAAAACCATCTCAACAGTGACGGGATGCTCGCAATGGCAACCCCCTTCATCAAAGCCAAGAGGGTACCTGGACCTCTGGAGATCCAACGTAGCCTCCGTTCTACTGGTTGGTGGTTGAGCCCTACCCCTCTGAAAAATATGACTTCGTCAGTTGGGATGATGAAATTCCCAGCTGTTTCTGGAAAGTCGTAAAAGTATGTAAAAATCATGTTACAAACCACCAACCATGTTTCCAAATGTTTACAAGTTGGGTTCTATGATGTTCTATGTCATCCCAATCAGACTTGAAAATCGCCAATCCAGTTTATTTGCAAAACAACAACAACAACAACAACAACAACAACAACAACAACAACAACAACAACCACGACGACGACGACGACAACACCAACACCACCACCACCAATAACAACAACAACAGCAACTGTGCCTCGGTATCAGCTGCTGGGCGGCCAGGGCACAAACTCCAACCTGAATGGAATCCGCTGAAAATGTGCTGGGAAAACCAATTGTTTAGACCAGTTGAAACAGGCAGTGCCAGAAACCATGGGTTTTAAGTTGCCTCAACTATATGGGAACCTGTTTTGGTGAAATAATTACCAATTTTGCCAGTTTTTGTATAATTGTGTGTTAACGGTACTCTTGATCTCACTGTTTCTTTGAATGGCCGTTTCTTATGATATCGTCTTTGTCAAGAATGGGGTTGATATGACGAGATTAAATATGAGCTGCGGAAACCATCCCTTCGGCTTGAAAGAGTCAAAAGAAACAGTGAAACCCGTCCCTAGCACAGTTTCAATGCTACTTTCAAAAGAAGTGTTTATACAGGATCCTGATATGGAGGTTTCCTAAAATGGGGGTATACCCCTAAATCATCAATTTTATTTTCGGATTTTCCATGAACTAACCATCCAGCGAGCTTGGAGATCCCCCATGACACTGGCACCCCCCACATGTTCCTCAAGGCATTGGCAGCCCCCAAATCCACAGCATGTTTTTTTTGGTTCAATCGCTGCACCCACAGCATCCTCTGCGGGTGCTATGTCCTGCGGCTGGTGACAGGGATCCAGTCGAAGCGCCTTTAAGGTTGCTGAGGGACCCGGATGCAACCCGCAGAAAACAACATGAATCTTTCCAAAATTGACCCAAAAATCAGAAAATCCAACAGATTGCAGTCTATTTTGTCTATAATTGGAAGATGTTTCAATCATTTCAGAGATTCAGCGGCGATTTTTTAGTTGCGCATCGCCCCATCAATGGGAATCATCTTAGAGACACATGGGACATACCCCAGGGGAATCCGCAGGTGCGTGGCATGACCGAAGCAGATCTTCTAGTTCACATCTGGTTGGCTGCAACCCATCCTAAAAATGTCAGCCGGTTGGAAAACTATTTGACATCACTTTTATAAAATATAGAAATGTTTTACTTCAAGTCACATCTGCAAACCCAGATTAAGCTCATGGATTCACAGCTTTTACTGTTTGAACGTGCCCTCTCTTATTCTTCAAACATGAAGAAATCACTCAGATCACTTCAAGCCACATCAACTAGCATTTCATCTGACATTGACGTTTTTTGTCCTGACGCTATGTCCGGCGAGCCCCAGAAAGTCTACAAGTTCCGGGTGATGCTGCAGAGGAGCAGAGAAGAATAGGTGCAAACAGAGCAATCGAGTTGCCATATAATCTACAAACCCTCACCCGGCAGGTGGGGAACCATACAAGCACATATTCCAACCCATATAAAACCAAAAACCACACGGAACCCATCAAGAAAACATTTAAACCTTAAGACCATCCGTTGCTTTCCTTGAGCAATCTCGTCCTGCATCTCACCTTCGCACTAACACGAACAACCAGGCGAACGCACCTGAGCATTAAAGTGCCAGCTAGGAATGGAGATGGAGAGGGTTTCCAAAAAAATAATCATGGATTGACATGGATGATTTGAAACATCATTAACAAAACTAATTACATGAACATAGCGAACTACAACCGGACAACTAATGACTTCAACCATCAAACAGTCGGTGTTAACAAATATGTAAGCATTGTTTGCAATCAAAGAAAATAGGGGATTAACTGGGTTTTACGAGAGAAATCAGGGTGCAGCAAGCAAAACATTGGGTGCTATCAAAGAAATGGCCGATGAACAATAGAACATTGGATTTTAATACTCCAACATGTTGTGTTAGCATGGTTTAATTCGGTTTAATTGAAATGGTTTAACATGGTTTGCCAATCTTGAGGCATCGGACCCAGAAAAAATAATCTGAACTAGGCGCAATCCTATCCCCCTATAATAAATGCCACCCATAGATTCCATGGAGGACCCCAAAATGAATATATAGCTCCAATACTGGTATGTTCCAACCCTGGCATGGGTGCCGAAACATTTTTTGCTGAGACATAGTCAAGTACACCAGTGTCGATTTTAGGGCCTTGAGATTGGAAACCCAACAAATCCGGGAATAGATCCCAAGTCGAAAGTACCATGAATGCCAGCTAAATTTGCATGATATGTGCAGAAAGCTTGACCCTTAAAAACTGTTAAATAGCTGACTCAGACACTCCTGAAACGAATATGAATTCGAAACTTGCCTTGGAATATGGTTGATTCCTTCGCTTTGATATGAAGGAAACCTTCCTTCATACCCTGGACTAATGCTAATCGCTTTGGAGCCCTCTGCTGGGGGCATTTCAGGTGGTTATTTATGTCCCCTATATATCGCAACTCATCAGCATGTAAAAACAAACAAATAAAACGTCAACCGACCCTCCTGATATGGCCAAGTGACACTCCCTGACTTAACCCGAAACATGATACAGTTGTACTTAACTACATCTAAGTATAATACATATACAATATATATATATGATAAACATGCTACCTATAGTCATATATACATGTGCTATGTATCTACTTCCTATTTACTACATACATAATATAGATACACACACATATATATCTGGGTAAATTATAATATTTCACTAACCTGAATTAAGGCCATTTGGGGATGATTCCCCTTATTAACCATGATTCCCAGGTTTCGGTCGCAGTGAGGTCGTTATAATTTACCCAGATTTATGTATTATAGATGATACACACACACACATATATATATATATATACATATATACATATATACATATATATGTATATAAATATACATAGATATATACAACGGTATTCATGGCTTGACCTATCCCTTCACGCCGAGCTGCTTGCGACCGTGACCACCTTGACAGGACCCAAGCAGATGCCAACATAGTTGCTGAAGAGCAGCAGGCCTAAACTAGCCATGACTGGGAATGGTAAACATACCACCCATAAACATGGTGATGACTTGGGGATGGTTTATGTAAATACATAATAATATATATGTAAATAAAAAACCTTGATCCTCCATTGACAAGATTTTTCTAGGCATTTTTGGAGGTTCCAGGTATGTATATATATATATGTCTATATGTATGTATATATGAAAATAGGAAATACACATAAAAATAAGAAAAAACGCACAACACATCGTAAAAATGGGGCCTCCACAGCGTCCCACTCACTCTCCCTCTCTCTATGTAATTATATTGATGATACATAAATGAATATATATATATATATGATATCTATATTGCTACTTAGTAGTAATATCTACTTCCAGATTATGACTACGATATCACAAAATATGAATGATACAAATGTTGGAATTAGGTGTGCACATATGCACTATATTATATGCACAACTAGATGTAACTAGATCCCAGCGATGACAATCCCCAATAAACCGTGTGGAATTCCTGCAGCCTTTGGAACGGGGAACGTGTCCCTCTCCGGTGTCCAAACTTGAGCAACTGTTGGCTACTGATTGACGCTCCCCCTAAAAAAGTATCATCTTTTTTAATTTGACATGACATGCATAAAAAGAAACCACTCACCAACCAAGCCAAGGCCTCTAAAGAAAAACTTACGGAAACAAAAAAAACATCAAACAGAAGGTGACGGTTCGAACTGCGCGAAGAACTGGGTTGAACACATAAATAACGTGTTAATTGAGCATGTAAATGTAAGGCTATAAGAATGTGTGACCCAATGCAAAGAACTAATGCCTCATGTCTCACGTCTCTCTGTCTGTCTTTTGCAGACTGAGGAAACAACCAAAAACATAAACAATATGTTATGATGTATGCAAATAATTTCTTTAGACGTACCTCTAGTTTTTAATCTAGATATACATCAAGATATTACACACACACATATATATATAAACATACTTTGCTTCAAGAGTAGCATCTAGGTAGTTATACATATCTATATGAAGATTTCTGAAACATATATATTCAATGGGAATTTCAGGATCCTGAAATGGAGCTACGTTAGTACCATTTTTTTGGCCATATTTTCTGGGGATATTCCCTTACATAGGGCTTATATATGGTAGGTACCTCCAATTCAGGATCCTGGCATGGCCATTGATATATAGATATATGTCAATTGTAAATAAGTATATGCTATAGGCTATATAGGAAACTCATTGTTCCCATTACGAGCTAAAACTCCGAACCGCACGTAGCGAGCTACCGAAGACGGAGGGTGCCACAATCCGACCGAAGTTCACAATCACTGAGTCGATGCCTCGGCTGGTGGGCATATTTGTCTGGGCAAATTTCAATAATTTACGAACGTGAAATAAGGCCATTTTGGGATGATTCTCCTTATTAACCATACTTCTAGTGAGGTCGCAGTGAGTCGTTATAATTTGCCCAGATTTATGTATTATAGATGATATCAATAAGGATTTATGATGACCATTATGACTAGAAAATATGATGTCAAAGGCTGTATATAAATATGAATAAATTATAATATGTCACCAACCTGAAAAGTTCGGCCATGATTACCCGAATCATAACTATGATTCCAGTCTTTAGGGGGCTCTAAAGTTTGATACTCATCATTTCCAGCCTTAAACATCCTTAACCTGTAATTTTATGCGCATCCCCATTTTGAGACACACCCACAAGTAAAATACATCATACTGTAAAACATGCTGTTTTTTCACCACCCCAAATCCGCCGGCGCGCGTCAGAAACGATTGTTGGTATCTGAATCATTCTCGTGGCTAAGATATCCCTGTCCTGCCAAAACTGAAGGATATCAACGTCAAACGGGGAAGAAACATGAGAAAAAACGATTCTATGTAACCAAAGCACCCAGGGAAATCGGCCAAAACAACGTCAATCTGTTGAGCACGAGACGCAACATATCTCTAGTGGTGCCACTAAGAAGCGCACCAAAAACACCGAATCACCACGGCCCAGACAAGATGGAAGGCCAGGGCACCCGGAGATTCAACATGAGGGTTTCAACATATCTACAGAAAATCACCAAAAACATACATGTCTGGTTGGTGGGTATACCTACCCCTCTGAAAAATATGACTTCGTCAGTTAGGATGATGAATTTCCCAATGTATGGAAAATAAAATTCAGGTTCCAAACCACCAACCAGATGTTGTTTTGTTTCTGTTGTTTGTATCCTCACTGCCTTGTCTCGTAGGAGGAAACCTGAAGTTTCCCGGATTTTTTGATGGATTGTAAGCTGTAGAATCACCATGATGCTTTTCCCATGACTTCTTGAAATATACCTTACGTAGTCATCGACAACCTTAAATACCCTGCAAGAAAATTGTAAAAACACAGCGGTTCGTGAAAATTGTGAACTACCCATCGAATCGGTTTCCCTAGAATGGTCTCTAGGTCTCTACTTATATGTCCATGATATCCGCATGGTACCCCTTAAATCTCCCTGAATCTTCACACGTTTCTACAGTCTAAATTATGAAGTTTCGTGGGAGAAGGTTTTTTTGTGGGATATGCGTTCGGACCTCACTTTAGGTTGCCGGGAGGCCTCAGAAGCGTACCAAAGTGTCATATTGAAATGGAAGGTGCACAAGAACGCATATCAAACGTTCCAGCTACTTGTCCTGGCTCAAGCCCTGTACCAAACATAAATATGTATGCTATATGTCATATTGCTCTTCCATTCGATGGGTGAAAACCAGCAAACAGGCAAAAAAAAACGGTGGTCGCGACATGAGACCCAAACCCGGCAAATCTTCAGCAATCTAACTTTTCACCAGTCGGATCAGAATGTATGCCAGACAGAACGCCAAAACTTTTGCCAAGTAAAATTTGCAAAAGATTTGCCAGATAGAACGCCATATTTGATGCCAGATAGAACGCCCGAAGCGACACCAGAAGAAATTACAGATAATAGAATGCCAGAATGTATGCCGGGGTTTATGTGACGGGGGGGTCGGTCGAAGCAAAGAATTGTTTTAAGTCTTTGTTTGTTGTTTTCGGTCTTTCGGTTTTGTTTATTTCTCAATAAGCGTGCGTTTTTTTCTCAATTTGATCACAATCAGAAAAGTCTGATTGTGATCAGAAAATTCACTCAATAAGCGTTTTTTTTTCTCAATTTGATCACAATCAGAAAATTCTGATTGTGATCAGAAAATTCACTCAATAAGCGTTTTTTTTTCCTCAATTTTGCATCAAAAATTAACAGAATTGAGAAAAAAAACGCTTATTGAGTGAATTTTCTGATCACAATCAGAATTTTCTGATTGTGATCAGAAAATTATGATTTGCATTTTTTTGGATAACAATCAGAAAATTCTGATCACAATCAGAAAATTCTGATCACAATCAGAAAATCCTGATCACAATCAGAAAATTCTGATCGCAATCAGAAAATTCTGATCACAATCAGAAAATTCTGATCACAATCAGAAAATTCTGATCACAATCAGAAAATTCTGATCACAATCAGAAAATTCTGATCGCAATCAGAAAATTCTGATCACAATCAGAAAATTCTGATCGCAATCAGAAAATTCTGATCGCAATCAGAAAATTCTGATCACAATCAGAAAATTCTGATCACAATCAGAAAATTCTGATCACAATCAGAAAATTCTGATCACAATCAGAAAATTCTGATCACAATCAGAAAATTCTGATCGCAATCAGAAAATTCTGATCACAATCAGAAAATTCTGATCACAATCAGAAAATTCTGTTTACAATCAGAAAATTCTGATTTGCATTTTTTTTTGATAACAATCAGAAAATTCTGATCACAATCAGAAAATTCTGATTGTGATCAGAAAATTCACTCAATAAGCGTTTTTTTTCTCAATTTTGCATCAAAAATAAGCAAAATTGAGGAAAAAAACGCTTATTGAGTGAATTTTCAGATCACAATCAGAAAATTCTGATTTGCATTTTTTTTTGGATCACAATCAGAAAATTCTGATCACAATCAGAAAATTCTGATCGCAATCAGAAAATTCTGATCACAATCAGAAAATTCTGATCACAATCAGAAAATTCTGATCACAATCAGAAAATTCTGATCACAATCAGAAAATTCTGATCACAATCAGAAAATTCTGATCACAATCAGAAAATTCTGATCACAATCAGAAAATTCTGATCACAATCAGAAAATTCTGATCGCAATCAGAAAATTCTGATCGCAATCAGAAAATTCTGATCGCAATCAGAAAATTCTGATCGCAATCAGAAAATTCTGATCACAATCAGAAAATTCTGATCACAATCAGAAAATTCTGATCACAATCAGAAAATTCTGATCACAATCAGAAAATTCTGATCGCAATCAGAAAATTCTGATCACAATCAGAAAATTCTGATCACAATCAGAAAATTCTGATCACAATCAGAAAATTCTGATCGCAATCAGAAAATTCTGATCGCAATCAGAAAATTCTGATCACAATCAGAAAATTCTGATCGCAAATTTTCAGAAAAATCCTGTCAACAATCAGAAAGAAAATTGACACAATTCAGAACCAGGAAAAAATTTTGATCACAATCAGAAAATTCTGATCACAATCAGAAAATTCTGATCACAATCAGAAAATTCTGATCACAATCAGAAAATTCTGATCACAATCAGAAAATTCTGATCACAATCAGAAAATTCTGATCACAATCAGAAAATTCTGATCACAATCAGAAAATTCTGATCACAATCAGAAAATTCTGATCGCAATCAGAAAATTCTGATCGCAATCAGAAAATTCTGATCGCAATCAGAAAATTCTGATCGCAATCAGAAAATTCTGATCACAATCAGAAAATTCTGATCACAATCAGAAAATTCTGAACGCAATCAGAAAATTCTGATCGCAATCAGAAAATTTTGATCACAATCAGAAAATTCTGATCACAATCAGAAAATTCTGATCACAATCAGAAAATTCTGATCACAATCAGAAAATTCTGATCACAATCAAAAAATTCTGATCGCAATCAGAAAATTCTGATCACAATCAGAAAATTCTGATCACAATCAGAAAATTATGATCGCAATAAGAAAATTAGGAAAATTCTGATCGCAATCAGAAAATTCTGATCACAATCAGAAAATTCTGATCACAATCAGAAAATCCTGATCACAATCAGAAAATTCTGATTCGCAATTTTTTTGGATAACAATCAGAAAATTCTGATCACAATCAGAAAATTTTGATTCTTGATGTCCAAGTTGGAGGCTTAAGGTTCAAAACCTGTAGAATCAGAAATGTTCGGATACAAATGGCCAATAAGCGTTCCAAAGTCACAAGTCACCAAAAACAAACGAACAATGCATCAGAAAAACCACTTGATAGTATAGAAACGCTTATAGCAATGCCACGATCAGAATTTTCTGAAAACCAGCTCGCGCGAAACTCCATAGTCTAAATATGTCTAAATGTATTTGTTAAACTTTTAAACGCCTTTGTGATCCTTTTTGTTGGACAACCAGCTTCATGTGGTTCAGGATGGTTCAGGGATCGGAACAGAAAAAGTTTGTTGGTTCTGGTGCTGCCTAGGATCATCCCGAATGGGGAGAAAACATCTCCAATACACCCCCCATCCACTAAAACAAGATAGTATAACAATTTCATGTTGATATCATGTAAAATGATGATCATAAGCAAGACAACAATATAAATAACAGTTATGAAATATGATTTATTGAAAATTTAATGGACTATCTGAACAATAATATATATATATATGTGTGTGTATGCATTTTCTTTTCAAGCCGTCCCTTCCTTTCTGGGCTACCCATGAAGGCGCCCGTGCGCCCTTCCGGCGCATATCGGATCAGCGAGGCGGGGAGCGCGGGGGACACTAAGGCCGAACCTGCCCCGGAACCCCCGGAACTGGATGGGTGGAGATATGGTAAACGGGTAAACACACGGAAAAAAAAGAAAAAACCTCTGGTTATTTAACATAGCCATGGAAAGATCCACCATTTTTAAGAACGGTAAACCATCTATTTCTATGGGCCATCTATACCATGGCTATGTTAAATAACCAAAGGGTATATGATATTGTGTAAGCACTGCACTATATTGATAAAACCAATGGGTAAACACATGTTTGACACAAATCAAACCAATATGTTGGTATGTATATATATATATACTATGAAAAATACACGCACACACACACATATATATATATATGCATATATATATATATATATATATATGTATAAACAAATAAGGCATGATAAGGCATGCATGCTTGATATATATATATATATATATGTTCAGTTGGGTTTGTCAACATGTGTGAAATATACATAAATAAAATCCATGCCCTGAAATTAAGTAAACACATATGTTCTAAAAAACGACACCACCAGAAAAGATGTAGGTTTTAGAGACTTGCAATGCTAAAGATCAGTGATTAACCTTTTTCGATCATTCTTGGGGTCCCTATGCATGAACAGTGATGAATGGCAAATAATTTTGTCTAAATTGATCTAAGTTGTGGTTTGTATAGCGAAAATAGAAGAGCTCGATTGAGTTGAGGTGCAATGTCACTATTACAAGTACAACTAGTTATTTGTGGTGCAACAATGCATGCTGTACAATCTGTATCTATGCATGCAAGACATGAGTACTGGTATTTGTTGAGGGCAAAACCACATTCAAATCATCCAAATCCTTCCGATGAGATCAGTTGAATCCAGTGAGCCGTTTCGTAACGCACTTTTTTCCCTGAAAAGCTGATTTATGATATCAGATTTGATTAATCAATTATAGAAATGGCACATTTTTTGATAATTCCCATATATTATGGAAGATAAAACATGTTCCAAACCACCAACCAGATATCAGATTTGATTAATCAATTAGTATCTGATACTTGTTCACCTACTACATATATCTACATATTGCCAATAAAAAAATGTGTAACATTCAAATTTTCTCGATGCCGAGCGAGAACGATTCTCGTCGTGACGCCAGACGCCACGGAATGGTTTCAGAAATGTAGGTCGGACGATGATGAAATCGACCTGTACTATGCAACTAGTTCCTACTGGCAAAGCAGCATTCCAATATGCAACTAACTGTTGATACTTTGCACGCCTCTTTCGCAATGAATCAATACATCCCATACATCTCGGGATGTGACAAAAAGCCACCCTAAAAAAACATTGGTTGGGGATAGTTGCCCTTCACCACCGAATCTAGTGACATCGTGGTGAGATCCTTCTCAAATTTATCTACACATATTAACAACAATTTGGTCACTGGGTAACAGCTTGATTATGAAGTGTATTCTTGGTTTTCATTATGCCATTATGCCATATTATGCCCCTCATACCCAAAATATACTGCTATTATCTGCTATTCTCTTTCATGTGTTTTTTCTCCGCCTGCTCCATACAGGGCGGCGGAGGCGAAAAGCCACGGCAGCGTCGTGTCTGGGGGCGAGATGACAAGGTTTCCTGGGGCAGCACCCGGGGGAGCATACAGAAAAGGGGGCAATATATTATATAATTATATAATATATATTTATATATATATTATATATAATTATATAATATAATATATATATATGTTATGAGATACTATAAGATATGATAAGCAGAAAAGAAATGGGTTAGTAAATGTTAGTAAGTGGGACTTAACTGGACTGTAACACAATGGAATATCCTCAGTTATGAGTTTGCGGCATGGGTTTTCAACAGGCTAAAACAGCCTAAAACAAGTCACTAATGGGATTCACGTCCAAGTAAACGCAATCTCACGCCAGTAAATGGACTGCAAAATGCTCAGCGCCAATCTTTGCAGCCATTCGCACGCTACTCAGCTTTCGAACGAATACCCTCTGGTGAACTAACATAGCAATGGAAAATCACCATTCTTTATGGGAAAATCCACTATAAATAGCCATTTTCCATTGCTATGTTAGTTTACCAGAGGGTAGTTCCCCCCAACTCAGAGCCAGGGTCCTAAGCCACTGATCACCATGAAAGTACCCAGCACCATGGTTCTTTCCAGCCCATAGCCTCGATTTCGGAAGCGATGTTTGTGATGGCGGCAAGCCTGGTGCCCTGGTGAAGTTCAAAGGAAGATGGAGCTTCATCCGCCAATATCGTAGAACAATGTCGAACACGGGGTTTTGATGATTTTCGAATATTTTTGATCCATCCCCATATTTTCAGCGAAATTCCTATAGGAAATATGAACCTTTTGGGTGCTGAGCCACTGTCATAGGCGTCATATGATCCGATGCGATAGACCTAACTACAACCCGTTCCTCTTAAGGTTTGAGCTCCTGTAAACCAACATAGAGGACAACCCACCAGTTGTAGATCACTTTTTCCGAATGGGAAACCATGGGCTTTTCACATCTTTTACCTCTTTTCATCTTTATATCTTCCCCCGGGTCACAAGCTTGATCCATTGTCGCTCCAGTGGGAAGTACTTGGTGCCCCCAGTTTCGATGTGGACCCAAGGCGCGTTTTCGGCAGAACTCGAAGGCGCAGACTTGGACGATAGCGACCAAGAAGGAAATGCCAGTCAGGACCTCAAGAAAACGCATCATGGAGAAATCAGATTTTTTACCGCCTCTGTTTTGTATCCCCACACAAAATTTCACTGGCCATCCCAGGAACCGATTGAGGACGGAGGTACCGATTCCATATATGTTTGGCCTATTTCTTAGGCCTAAATTTCAGGGAATATCCCCAGGAAATATGGCCAAACATATGGTACTACCCTCTGGTAATTTAACAGTTTGCTATTGAAAATGGCCCAGTCGAAATAGTGGATTTGCCCATTGATAGCATGGTGGATCTTTCCATAGTTATGTGGCTGTTAACGGTACCTCCATCTGTTGGATCCTGGAGATGTCCCATGGAGGATCTCAGGCTCCCACAGCCCCCAAGCGTGTCAGTGGCAGCTCGAAGCGCCGCGTCAACAGCAGTGGAAAATAGGAGTGGAAGCACGTCCTGACGCTGGCGCTTCAGGGATGAAGGGCTCCATGAAGTGCACCCTATGAAGCCATTTTGGACCAAGACATTGATGCAGTACATGCATATATATATTAATATAATTTAATTTAACTTAATAAATATATATATATATGGCACTTCTTTGCAAACGATATTGGCAGCTGCCCCAACAATACATTCTTCATAAATAATGTAAACCCTGGATTAATAAACCCCAAACGGCTGTTTAATTGCGAAGGTACCATTTAAGTATCAAATCATGACTATTGGGGGAACCGAATTAATAAACCATGGTTTAGCAAAATCCGGGGTTGACAAAAAAATGACGTCCTATCGACGTGACGTAAATCTCAGATTGGACGTGATTCGATTGGTGCAAAAGATTCGCCCGTAGCATAATGGAGCATTGGGGCTCTCACCTGGTACAAGCCCAGATGAAGGAAAATAAGAAGAGCGGCACCTGGCTGGCGGCTTTGGGACACCGCTGGCCCGGGGAAAATGCTGAAACTTTCAGGAATCAAGGGAAAAGGATAGCCATTACGGGAAAATTGGGAAAATGGAGGTTAAGTTAATAACAATGGTATAACCACAAAAAAAAATTGCAAAAATATGGGAATATGTTGGAGACATAAGGATTTTACCAACAATTTCTGGTGTGAAGCTTCAAGTATAGGTGCCTGACCGAATTGAACATATACTTTGCATTATTTGGCACAACTCTCAACATCCAAATGAACATGTAGAATCATTGATTAATCATCTATTAGACGTATGCCAAACGCATCATACACATGCGCGATGAATGAGCACTCACAGTGAAACTAACCATGAGGACGTGGCCAATCTCGTGTGAAAGAAGCGGATATTGGGCCAGTCAGGTGTATAAGTTACTGTATAAATTATATTCACCATATAATGCCTCCATATGTTCATCTATTAATGCATGTATGCATATCCCCACATCATGGTTTGTAGCCATTGATGGCAAGAACCCCGTTTCATCGAACAACATCAACATGTGTTATATCTCGTGTGAGTACAGATATATATATATATAATATATATATAGAGCCCTTTGGTCATAAATCAGGGCAATGACCAACTATGGAATATATAATCTGCATCTACTCATGTATCTCATGTTGACACTCATCATTAAATCAAGAAAAACAATCATCACCAAAAAAAACATGTTCATTCCAGAATCAGTGAATTCATGGAAAATCACCAGTCACAAGAATGTGCTCTTGGGAACATTTATATGGGGCTGGTTTGGTATAGCATTTATGTTCAGGTAAACCTCATATCGTGGGTGATCCCTCCGTTTCCAACCAGCTCCGGTATCATGAAACGTTGCTATTGGGAGGTGTCCGAAAAAATAGGGCTACCCATGGATTTTCCATCATCCATGATGGATTTTCCATAAACCATCCATTGATGGAAAGCTCCATGATTCCCTCATCACTCCCTCTCAACTCAATGCATCTCTATTTTTTTTTGCATATTTTTTCAGTTTTTCCAAATCATCTGGGTGAACTATATTGAATTATCATATTTCACTCACCTCTGAATTGTTGGGCCCTTTGGGGATGATTCCTCTGAAAAAATGGACACCTCCATTTATCATCGACATGTTTTCCCGAGAGCGTCTGAGCGCAGGGTTCTTCCAATAGTGGGGGTCTGTAAAACATCTTCTCATCTTCACATCTCATCTTCACATCCTCTCATCTTCACATCTCATCTTCACATCATCTCATCTTCACATCCTCTCATCTTCACATCCTCTCATCTTCACATCTGCTCATCTTCACACCTTCCCATCTTCACATCTGCTCATCTTCACACCTTCCCATCTTCACATCTTCTCATCTTCACATCTGCTCATCTTCACATCTGCTCATCTTCACACCTTCCCATCTTCACATCCTCTCATCTTCACATCTGCTCATCTTCACATCTGCTCATCTTCACATCCTCTCATCTTCACATCTGCTCATCTTCACACCTTCCCATCTTCACATCTGCTCATCTTCACACCTTCCCATCTTCACATCTTCTCATCTTCACATCTGCTCATCTTCACATCTGCTTCTCTTCACACCTTCCCATCTTCACATCTGCTCATCTTCACACCTTCCCATCTTCACATCTTCTCATCTTCACATCTGCTCATCTTCACATCTGCTCATCTTCACATCTGCTCATCTTCACATCTGCTCATCTTCACATCTTCTTATCTTCACATCTGCTCATCTTCACATCTGCTCATCTTCACATCTGCTCATCTTCACATCTGCTCATCTTCACATCTGCTCATCTTCACACCTTCCCATCTTCACATCTTCTCATCTTCACATCTGCTCATCTTCACATCTGCTCATCTTCACATCTGCTCATCTTCACATCTGCTCCTCTTCACATCTTCTCATCTTCACATCTTCTCATCTTCACATCTGCTCATCTTCACATCTGCTCATCTTCACATCTGCTCATCTTCACATCTTCTTATCTTCACACCTGCTCACCTTCTCTCTCACGCCTTCTTTTTATCTTTCTCTCTTAAGGCCGAGGGTGGTGCCGGCGGCGAGTCACGAAACGTCAACCCTTTCGCACGAAATGAAGGTCGATCGGCAAAAACTGCGGTAAAATTGCGATTTGACTTGTGCCGGAGCAACCCTTTCGCACGAAATGCGGGTCGATCGGCAAAAACTGCGGTAAAATTGCGATTTGACTTGTGCCGGAGCAACCCTTTCGCACGAAATGAGGGTCGATCGTCAAAAACTGCGGTAAAATTGCGATTTGACTTGCCCCGGAGCAACCCTTTCGCACGAAATGCGGGTCGATCGGCAAAAACTGCGGTAAAATTGCGATTTGACTTGTGCTGGAGCAACCCTTTCGCAAAATTGCGATTTTACTTGCCCGGAGCAACCCTTTCGCACGAAATGAGGGTCGATCGGCAAAAACTGCGGTAAAATTGCGATTTTACTTGTCCTGGAGCAACCCTTTCGCACGAAATGAGGGTCGATCGGCAAAAACTGCGGTAAAATTGCGATTTTACTTGTGCCGGAGCAACCCTTTCGCACGAAATGAGGGTCGATCGGTAGAAACTGAGGTAAAATTGCGATTTTTCCTGTGCCGGAGCAACCCTTTCGTCTGTGTGTAGAAGCGTCTGTGTGTAAAAGCGTCTTTGTGTAAAAGCTTCTGGGTGTAAAAGCGTCTCTGTGTGTAAAAGTCTCTGTGTGTAAAAGCGTCTGTGTGTAAAAGCGTCTGTGTGTAAAAGTGTTTGTGTGTAAAAGTGTTTGTGTAAAAGCGTTTGTGTGTAAAAGCGTCTGTGTGTAAAAGTGTTTGTGTGTCAAAGCGTCTGTGTGTAAAAAGCGTTTGTGTGTAAAAGCCTCTGTGTGTAAAAGCGTCTGTGTGTAAATGTGTTTGTGTGTCAAAGCGTCTGTTTGTAAAAAGTGTCTGCGTGTAAAAAGCGTCTGTGTGTAAAAGTGTTTGTGTGTAAAGGCGTCTGTGTGTAAAAGGGTCTGTGTGTAAAAGCGTCTGTGTGTAAAAGCGTCTGTGTGTCAAAGCGTCTGTGTGTAAAAGCGTCTGTGTGTAAAAGTGTTTGTATGTAAAAGCTTCTGGGTTTTAAAAGCTTCTGTCTGTAAAAGCTTCTGTGTGTAAAAGCTTCTGTGGGTAAAAGCTTTGTGTGTAAAAGAGTCTGTGTAAAAGCGTCTGTGTGTAAAAGTGTTTGCGATGCAAACTATTGTCTTGCACTTCTCACTATTTTGTCTTGATACTCCTCTTCTCGACTGCCTATAACACAGCTTTCATATATCGTTTCTAATATTGCGTCTCCATACTAACAAGGGAAGACCCTGCTCCCCCCTGAACTGTCCGAGCAAACATGACTGTAAGCATTTCCAGAGCTTCTTTTGGTGGCTGTGGTGCTTGTCTTTGGAGATTTTGGAGGCCTGCTGCATGTTGTCATCAGTGTGTGGCAGTCATTCGATGTTTTGCAGCTAGCTTTTGGTAAAACCGCATGATTTGGAGATTTTGGAGGCCTGCTGCATGTTGTCATCAGTGTGTGGCAGTCATTCGATGTTTTGCAGCTAGCTTTTGGTAAAACCGCAGGATGTTTGCGAGTTTCAACTGCAAGCTTGTGTTCCGTTTGTTCGTCAAAGCATGAAGCTGGTCGGCGCAGCTTTTGGTTCGAGATTTGTATCGTGCTTGGCCTCTATAAGTTGTTACTCTGGGTTCGCTTCAACCGGATAGGTCCGAGAAGCTCCGAGAGTTGCAACAAGGCTTGACAGAGGGAGGAGTTGATCCCTTCCGGCGCCAGGTGCGCAAACTTGGGATCAATGCATTGAAGGCTTTAGCTTCTGAGCTGGGGATGTCAGTGTGTGGCAGTCATTCGATGTTTTGCAGCTAGCTTTTGGTAAAACCGCAGGATGTTTGCGAGTTTCAACTGCAAGCTTGTGTTCCGTTTGTTCGTCAAAGCATGAAGCTGGTCGGCGCAGCTTTTGGTTCGAGATTCGTATCGTGCTTGGCCTCTATAAGTTGTTACTCTGGGTTCGCTTCAACCGGATATGTCCGAGAAGCTCCGAGAGTTGCAACAAGGGATTGCTGAGGTGGCCACGACAACGATGACTTCGCTGTGAGTACATGGGCCGGCCTGTGTGTAAAAGCGTCTGTGTGTACAAGTGATTGTGTGTAAAGGCTTCTGTGTGTAAAAGCGTATGCGTGTAAAAGCGTTTGTGTGTAAAAGTGTTTGTGTAAAAGTGTTTGTGTGTACAAGTGCCTGTGTGTAAAAGCGTCTATGTGTAAAAGCTTCTGTGTGTAAAAGGGTCTGTGTGTAAAAGCGTCTGTGTGTAAAAGCGTCTGTGTGTCAAAGCGTTTGTGTGTAAAAGCGTCTGTGTGTAAAAGTGTTTGTATGTAAAAGCTTCTGCGTGTAAAAGCTTCTGTATGTAAAAGCTTCTGTGTGTAAAAGCGTCTGTGTGTAAAAGCGTCTGTGGGTAAAAACTTCTGTGGGTAAAAGCTTTGTGTGTAAAAGCTTTGTGTGTAAAAGCGTCTGTGTGTAAAAGTGTTTGCGGTGCAAACTATTGTCTTGCACTTCTCACTATTTTGTCTTGATACTCCTCTTCTCGACTGCCTATAACACAGCTTTCATATATCGTTTCTAATATTGCGCCTCCATACTAACAAGAGAAGACCCTGCTGCTCTACGCTCTCGGGCCATCCGTCGTCTAGTCATCGACATGTTTTTTCTGGTTGGTGGTATACCTACCCCTCTGAAAAATATGAGTTCGTCAGCTGGGGTTACTCTTCCCAATATATGGAAAGTCATAAAATTCCATTAATATTAACCATGTATTTCCATATATTAACCATATATTAACCATATTATTTATGATTAACCAATATAAAATTCCATGGTTCCAGTCACCACCAACCAGTTTTCCTGAATTTTTCCGGAAAATCTTCCAGCCAAGCCGCCGCCAGAATGGGCTTCGGTTTCGCATGTTTCGCCGAAGACGTTTTGGACGACGTTTTGGAGCTGAGACCAACGCTCTGGGGCCTGGACAGTGGGTGACATTCCTTGGTGAAATCTATGGTGAAATCTATGGCAAATGAATGGTAAACTAATGGTAAACTAATGGTAAACTAATTTTTTTGCCGGGGCTTCTCAGAGGGTTTGCCCCAACAGCCAGCCCAGCACGTTCGCTCTGGGCAATAGCTGCAAAAGTTGCATGATGTTAAAATGGTTGTCTATATAGTATCCAAAATTATGTCACGTATGTGAGACAATGTCGGAGACTACGGTGTTGGCGCTCACTCGCTGTCAGCGGAAACAATTGGTACCACGATGCATGGTTGGATTGTTGCAATGTCTGCTGTATTGGAGTTGCGTGGTTTTGTATGGCTCTCCACACTGCGGCATTTGGTACAGCGATTTGCAGGAGGAAAGGCCCACCAAGCATATTCAAATGGTAGCATAACCCTCGGAAGCCTCTGGTAATATTGGCTTCATATCCTTGCAGTGGTTCACTGTCTGCCCAAACTGAAAACCCGGCAACTGTATCCAGCCATACCGCAGTGAAAACCCCAGCCGGTATACCAACGAACACCAGGTGAATCCAAGCAACGGGTACGTGGAGGAGGCGTTTTGGCTTGTCCCACGGGTTTTGCTCAAGCATTTCTACATTGTTTTGGGTCCTTGTAAACCCATGCCATTGTAAAAAACTTTCAGATAAAGACTTCCAAACATCACGATCAGTAGCAACATGGATGTAGTCCCCCTCGAGTTCCATGGCGTACCAAAACGCCCTTACCAGACTGTGAGGTGTGTTCCAAGGACCTGGGCGATTTAGCTTGTGTGAATGTTGTGCAATGAGATGATGCAACATCACTTTGGCTGGGCGATTGCTCTGAAACTCTTGTCGGCAAATGTGCCCCAGAAAGGACCAATATCGGCGGAGATATTGTATCTCCCAACTTCCTGAGGGTGCCATTTGCAGAATCCATCTCTTCACAAGATGTCGGCGAAGGCGCAGAAGGTTGTGAAGAGCCTCGTCATCTGTCAGGACCGGGACGTAGAGATTTAGGGCTTCAATCATCAGCGTGGTCTGTACTCTGCTCACTTTGGTTCGAAAGATCTGGTGCGGGTACAGGACAGGGGACAACCAGAGAAAGGTCAGAGGGCTTCGGGTTTTTTGCGACGGTAACCGGGGTTTTGGCCACGGTGCAATGCTAGAAGGGTTTTTTGTGACGGGGAATGCCAGAGGGTTTATTGCGACGGTTCAGAAGGTTTTTTTGCGACGGCTAGGGAGGTTTTTTGCGACAGTGAACGAATAGTGAAAGTTTTTTGCGACGGGAAGTGGGTTTTTTTGCGTCGGTGGAGGGTTTTTTGCGACGGGCAGCGGAAAGACAGGCATTGCGACAACGACGGCTAGCACTACTACTACTACTACGACGACTACTACGACTACTACTACTACTACTGCTACTACTGCTACTACTACTACTACTACTAGTACTAATACTAGTACTAGTACTACTAGCACTACCACCATTACTACTTCTACTACTACTACTACTCCTACTACTACTACTACCACTACTACCTACTACTACCTACTATTACCTACTACTACCTACTACTACCTACTACTACCTACTACTACTACTACTACTACTACTACTACTACCTAATACTACCTACTACTACCTACTACTACCTACTACTACCTACTACTACTACTACTACTACTACTACTACTACTACGACTACGCCTACGACGCCGCCGACGACGACGACGACTACTACTACTACTTGCTACTACCTGCTACTACCTACTACTACTTGCTACTACCTGCTACTACCTGCTACTACCTACTACTACTACCTACTACTACCTACTACTACCTACTACTACTACTACCTACTACTACCTACTACTACCTACTACTACCTACTACTACCTACTACTACCTACTACTACCTACTACTCCCTACTACTACCTACTACTACCTACTACTACCTACTACTACCTACTACTACCTACTACTACCTACTACTACCTACTACTACCTACTACTACCTACTACTACCTACTACTACCTACTACTACCTACTACTACCTACTCCTACCTACTACTACCTACTACTACCTACTACTCCCTACTACTACCTACTACTACCTACTACTACCTACTACTACCTACTACTACCTACTACTACCTACTACTACCTACCACTACCTACCACTACCTACCACTACCTACCACTACCTACCACTACCTACCACTACCTACCACTACCTACCACTACCTACCACTACCTACCACTACCTACTACTACCTACTACTACCTACTACTACCTACTACTACCTACTACTACCTACTACTACCTACTACTACCTACTACTACTACTACTATTACTACTACTACTACTACTCCTCCTCCTACTGCTACTGCTACTGCTACTGCTACTGCTACTGCTACTACTACTGCTACTACTACTGCTACTGCTACTATTACTACTACTACTACTACTACTCCTCCTCCTACTCCTACTCCTACTGCTACTGCTACTGCTACTGCTACTGCTACTGCTACTGCTACTGCTACTACTACTGCTACTACTACTGCTACTGCTACTGCTACTACTACTACTAACACCACTACCACTACGACTACGACTACGACTACCACTACCACTACCGACTACCCACTACCCACTACCCACTACCCACTACCCACTACCCACTACCCACTACCCACTACCCACTACCCACTACCCACTACCCACTACCCACTACCTACTACCTACTGCCTACTGCCTACTACTACCTACTACCTACTGCCTACTACCTACGACCTACGACCTACGACCTACTACCTACGACCTACGACCTACGACCTACGACCTACGACCTACGACCTACGACCTACGACCTACTACCTACTACCTACTACCTACTACCTACTACTACTACTACTACAACTATAACTACTACTACTACTACTACTACTACTCCTGCTACTACTACTACTACTACTACTACTACTACTACTACTACTACTACTACTACTACTACTAGTACTAATACTAGTACTAGTACTACTAGCACTACCACCACTACTTCTACTACTACTACTACTACTACTACTACTACTCCTACTACTACTACTGCTACTGCTACTGCTACTGCTACTGCTACTGCTACTGCTACTACTACTACTACTACTACCACCACCTACTAACTACTACTACTACTTCTTCTTCTTCTTCTACTACTACTTCTACTTGTAGGCTGCGCAAGACCACCTCATCCGGCTCCGCGACCACTGCTCCGCGACCACATTAACATGGAACGACCTGCGGGGGGAGGCTCTGCGCCCTCCCCCTGCACCCCTCCCGGTTGTTTATAGGCACCGCCACGCGCAGCTGCGCAACACCACCTCTTCCACAACATCGCACAAGGAGGCAACAAAAAGCACCATCAAAGCACACAAGCGCAGCTCGGCGGCGTCGTCCCTCCCCCTATTTTGTCTGCCACCCAATATCTACTCTTACCCGGCTACTACCGATCATGTTGCACATTTGCGACCACTACCACTACGCACCTTTGCTACCGTTACCACTACACTCACTACGGCCACCCTTACCCGGCTACTACCGATCATGTTGCACCCGTGCGACCACTACCACTCGTCGCTCTCAGTCGCTCCTCGTGCCCGCGCCAACCGCCTCGACGACTCCTCCTCCTCCTCCGCCTCCTCCTCCCCCCTCCCCTTACTCTGCGCCACTGATGCTACTCACTGAACCGTCGCAAAAAACCCTCGCTGAACCGTTGCAAAAAACCCTTCTCCGTGGAGACGGTCGCAAAAAAAACCCAGACTTTCTCGTAAAGTTGCAACTGTTTGGAAAAGCCCCTGTTACTGTCGCTAAAACCCCCCCTTCCCCATTCCCAACATACTGGTCAAGCATCTTGCAAGTTGTTGCAGGATGTCGCCAGTGGCATCGCTTGAGAACTGGCCGGAGTCTGCCCCATGCTGCATGAATCAACTGGATGGCTTGATGGGGCAAAGCGTCAGGGTCCAGGTTGTATCCGAAGGGTTTGCGTAGGTAGGTTGTGTGTTCCACCCATGGAAATTGGTGCAAGATGCCTAGCTGGTGACGTGGCGGGGAAGAAGCTCTCAGACCCGGGCTCACAACCAGACAGCTTTTGGCGGGATTGATGTGCAAGCCAAGTTGAGCAAGACAGTCCACAAAGGAAGGCAATAGCCGGAGTGCTTGCGTCCAACTGCTGAAGCACATGAGGATGTCGTCCACAAAGAGGAGCAACCATAGTGGAGGAAACAGAGGCACATGACCCTGAGCTTCCCATTGTTGCAGCAAGTTTCCGATGGCGTGGTCGAGTGTGCGGGCAAAAAGCCCAGCGGAATGGCTTCCTCCTTGCGGTGTGCCGTTGGAGCTGTGCGTTTCCCAATGAGCATCAAGGAAAGAAAATTGGATTGTCTGATCCAGGAGGAGCTGCATCAGGCGCATGGCTTCATGCGATACTTGGGGTGGGAGGGTGGCCAAGAAGTTAGCTACACTTGCATGCCGAAGATTGTCGAAAGCGCCCTTGATGTCGAGCTTGAGGAAAAGAGGGGTCTTGTCCGTGACATTGGCCAAGGCAATCATGTGATGGGCGGCGAACAGAGCCTCAATGGGTTGGCCACCTGAAACCGCCCCAACTTGGACATGGAGGGGTGGCCAGTGGGAATGGATACGTCGCATCAGAATGCTCGCGAAAAGCTTCTGCAAAACTTCAAGGAGAAGGATGGGACGAATCTGGGATGCAGCGGTGGCACCCGGAGTCTTTGGCAGCAAGCACGCAATGCCTGTCAGAAGGGGAGGCGGGATGTCACCATCGATGAGCATTGCATTCAACAAGTTGAGAAGCATGCTGTGCCCTGTGGCGGTGCTTCCCATTGCCAGGAGGAACTCATTTGACATGCCACTTGCCCCGGATGTCTTCCCAAGCTTCAGGTTTGCAAGGGCAAGGCTAAGTTCTTCAGTGGCTCGGTTTGGTCCATGTGTGCTTGTAGGGCTTCGATGTGATGGGAGCAGTCGGCTGTCCGGGTGGGAATGGGGGTGTTGCTGAAGACTTCTTGGAAGTGGTTTTTTACGTTGTGTATTGCTCCCTGTAGGCTGCCGGAATGTGCTATGAGGTGGCTCCAATTGGCGGTTGGCTGGTGCTTCGCCTTGAGACTAATGGTTATTCTAATGGTGATTCATGGTCAAGAAAAACGGATGATTATATATTAATCGTGGTTTTTAATCCAGTGGAATAACCACTATTCAATCACCATATCACTATTGATGATTTTACCACTAGATGAATGGGATAATGCAAAGGCTGCAAGCAACACGAATGGACGGTAAGTTACAGTAACCGTCAATGGATTGTAATTACCGCCGGATGCACTGGATAGTTGGGGATCATATATAAATATATATATATATATATATGTGTGTGTGTGTGTTATTATATGTTGATAGCATGGTAAGTAAACCCAAGAATACACAACCCCCAACGGATGCAACAAATCACCCCCAAGTGGTAGGTTTATCATGGGGTTTATTTACCACATTATGCCTGACACTTTCTAGTAAACGAGCATGACAAGCATGGCGAATGGAAAATCACCACAGCCATGCTCATTTATAGCTGATTTCCTCTAAAAAACATGGCCGTGTTGATTACAGTATCTAAAATATAAAGGATTATAAAGGTAAGCAACCGCAGATGGAGAACCCCGTGATTCCTGACATGTATCAGTATCACATGAAACCCATGCTTTCCTGCAGTCGCATCAAGAAACCTGGTCAGTGAATTCTTTTGGTGGACCAAACCACCGTCCCCAAGCCTCCCTGCGGTTAAGTGGAGTGATATGGAATGATGAACGACTGGGCTTTAGAATGTGTTTCAACTCATAAGTTCATCTAAATTGCAAGCATCTTGAGTGAAGTTACCATCGAAATGCCCCCTTTTTTTACATCACCCTCTCCACTCTGGCACCTGGGCCCACTGGGGTCGGGCAAGACTTTCAAGCACAGCACTGCAGCCCATGTGCTCATGAAGGCGGAAAAGAACATGGGAGCAGCGAAGATCCTGGGGATTTTGACCAATGGGAGCTTCAGGGCTGCCTAACCTCGGCTTCGACCAACCAATCAATAAGGATCCAACCAAAAGTGCCCTCCACAGGAGAAAATGGAACTATGTAGCATGGTGCAGAAGCCTCCAAGATCTGATACCTTCCCCATACTTGCTTTAAATATCATATAATATTTAATATTTCCGGGCACTATCCAGTTGTTGATGCTTCAACTACTCATATCTAACGTTACGGACCTTAGGCACTTTTCCACACCAGAAAAACACCGGCTTTAGATCTGCTTGCAGTAGATATAGATTGTATTGAATTGATTGTCAGTCTCTCAAAAGGAAAAAAACAACTTGAGTTTCAGAGAAGTTTAGATTGTGAGTCGATTATATCTCAACCCCCAGATCGAGAAATTGCGCACATCTATCGAATTTGGGGCTACCCTCTGGTAAACTAACATAACTATGGAAAGATCCACCATTTTTAATGGGACAACTCACTATAAATGGCCATTTTCAATAGCTATGTTAAATTACCAGAGGGTACCAAAATCATACCATTTTTCCAGTGCAAAAAACGACCTGTCCCGGCCTGGCTGCTAAGAATCCACCCAGGGCGGGGCCCAAGATGAACCTGGGCGGCACACATCGATTGAAATCCACCCCTATCTGGTTGGTGGTTGAGCCACCTACCCCTCTGCAAAATATCATATGAGTCAGTGAAAGTCAGTTGGGATGATGAAATTCCCAACTGAATGGAAAGTCATAAAAATTCATGTTCCAAACCACCAACCAGATATTAGTGTATCCAGAATAGATAGTTGTCCCGGCTAGAAACCTCTGTGATTCCCAGAGGGTAACCAAAAAATGAAAACATGGGAGGGAAAATGAGGGAAAAATGAACCAAATCAATCAAAATTGCTATTCTGGCAAATGGGCGGGACAGCTATGACAGCTTAATCAAATAAATCTGGGTGTCACTGTATTTTGGCGAAATTTTCCCCGCAAAGCAAATAACCATTGAGCAAGGATGAGCACGGCAAATACAGTAAGTTCCATTTTTTACATGCAACCCCAAAGAAGTGTCAGGTGAAGGGTCCATCTTATGGTAGACAAAGTGAACACCTGGGATTTCCTGGTGTAATCAAACACTTATTTATGTACAAGACTCAACAAAAGCTGCTGAACTCAAACTTGTGGCCCTGCTTGTCCCAATCCTGGATCTTGAAGCCAATCATCCTTTCCCGTTGACATGCTGAACAACCTCACCGAACCTTTTTCAGCTCACTGTTCCTATCTGTTCCCACCCCAACTTGTGCCATCCAAATGATGTTCCCGCTAGATCTAGGGGCGGCCAAAACAAGTGGTCGTGTTTTTGTCGTCATTTGACCTGGGGCCCAATGATCAGCAAAAATAGGACTTAGATGGCTGTAGACACTGAAAAAATACAGGTCAAACCTTGAAACAAGTCCTTTGAGGGTTCCTTACACCTGAGGCATCTTTCCATATCTTTCTATCACTGTCGTTCTATCGAATATCTGTATTTCTATCTATCTATCCATCCATCCATCCATCTATCTATCTACCTATCTCCATCCATCCATCAGGATTTATCTATCTGCTTAGTTTCCTTATCTGTCTATATATCCATCCATTTATCGATTAATCCATCCATCTATCATCATCCATCTAACTGCTGTCATAGCAACGCCATTGTGCCAGCTGCTTCTCCTCAAATGGAGGCTTGCCGAAGCCGGTTTTTTTTCTGGCTGCTGGGGAGATAACTATAATGTTAGTAAAACAAGTGAGAGGAAAAAAAACACCCATAGTTTGATGGTTTATAAAGTTTATACCACCCATAAACATGGACAATTTGTGCATGGTATGGGGTGATGTGCTATTTCTTTACTCACATTCGCCTTTTTCCCCACCAGTGGGACTCAGGAAAAACTGACGAAATTAAGACTTGACTTGCCAAGTCAGGCCAACAATTCCGGGAAATGATGCAAACTCAGATCAAAGACGGAGAAGTACCACAACCCCCACCCACCTGAAATAAATCTTCGCTTCCGCTTTTGCCCAGGGTCGAAGGTCAAAAGGATTGCAAAAACGGTGTCCTCACTGACTTCCTCATGATTTGTTTTGTATAATTTAGGGTGCTTCTTCAGAATTTATATACTTATACCAGATCCACTGATCCACATTGACTTCCAAGTTTGCACCCTCACACCCAAACAAAAAGACTCATCCCCCTTTAGATCCCTTTGTTTTACTGATGAAAGCCCCGGTTATCAAATCGGGTTTACCCAAAGATCAACTGTAAAAAAATGCGTGATTTCAGAGCGAGGTTCCCTCCGAATTGAAATCACTAGTGGGTTAATCCATATTCAATGTCAAAGTCCCAATTGGTGTTCTTTAACTCTCAACTCTCCATAGTTGCTTCAATCTCAATCTTTTTTTTGGTTGGATACACATGCTGGTATGGAACAAAAACTCTATGTTTGTTCGCAACATCCCTATGTTTGGTGGCTATTTACCCCCCATACCCCCCATTAGTGATCATTTGTGGCTATCCAAAGGGCACCTGCCAATGCCTCAATTTGTCCATACAGCACCTCCCACCCAAAAAACAAACAACACATAGAATCAAATAACTAAAACGATCTATACATCCGGTCGACTCCTGTGGACCAAAGTTACCACAGCTCCACAATTCTCAATTCTGGTCTGTGAGGGCTGAACACACAAGCGGCCCATGCACGAGATGGCACCAAGTGGCGATATGCCAAGACCTTAGGAACTTCTTCGGCCTCAAAGGTGTCTACGATATAGGCCTGGCACCGAAGTGACACACGTGGATGATAAATATCAAGGATATATATATATATACATTACTGTACATTACTCTGTACATTACTGTACACGGTATTGGTATTATGAAAAAATCCTGCTTGAAATGATGAGTATCAGTATTGCTATAGTTGTTTTATCATACTGATAATGTTGCAGTATTATAATGTTGTTTTCTATTATAATGATAGTGTTTTATGTTGTAACAATGCTTCATAATGCTTCAATTTCCCAAGATTTACTCTCATCATATGCCAATCATGATCCACAAAAATATATGGTTAACATCTAAAATTATAGTATTAACCATTATATTATTCACAAATATATATATATAATATATATAACAATAGCATTTTTACATAGGTTTTACATGGTTTTACATAGGTTTTACATCCAACGTTTCTGTTAAAAAACCTCGTTTTTCACGCCCAAAAAAACCAACTTCTTAGCCTAAGCACCTTGACGGTGGGCACGATGCCGCTGAACATCCCAGCCACTCCTCGGACCTGGAAGTTGCGTCCACGGAGCCCGTCCGACGGATCGTCAGAATATGATGGTCAGATTGGAGAAAATCATCCCAACTACCCTCTGGTAAATTGGTCTCCTCCCCGACCTGAAATAAGGCCATTTGGGAATAGCTATATGAATGTTAAATACCTGTACTAACCACCATTCCAGTGAGGAGAACAGTGAGGTCGTCATACTTTACCCAGAGGTAAGAGATGTGGATTCGTCATTGGAGATGGAGTTACACTAACTGGTTATTGGAGATTATGGTAAGCCATTTTATGGGAAATCTATCAACCAACTACCCTCTGGTAAATTAACATAGACCCTGACAGTTGTCGGGGTTGGAAGACTAGTTTCCATTAAAAATGAGTGATTTTCAGGGTCTATGTTAATTTACCAGGGGGTATTGGGGAAGAAAAAAGTTCCAAACCACCAGCAGGAAAAATTATAGCAATACAGATTATTAGTGATTATCATAGTTGTGAATTATCAATGCTTCAAACATAAATATCTAACATTTATTATAGCAAGAGCTATTGATTATTATTCTAGAATTTGATTATAGCAGCTATTTATTATATTTAATTGGAGCAATTACTATATATGATAATCCCACACCTAATAATAATAGTGATTATATACCATAGTAGTGAACCCCATAGTCTATGTAATAATAATCACATAATAGCAATAACTATGACTATGATAAGCACTATTATTGTTATCATAGTATCAGCAATTATTAGTGATAATACTCTGGTTATTGAGTCTTCTAATGCTATGATCAATGGCAATTTCAGGAACCGATTTATTGGAGGTACCTACCATGTATAAGGCCTATTTTTCAGGCCTATGTAAGGGAATATCCGTAGAACATATGACCAAACATATGGTACAGTACCTCCACTTTAGGATCCTGAAATTCACAAATTATGGATCTTCATGGTAAAATATGGCAAAATCCCCCAGTGAAGTTCACAAATTGTGGCAAATTGCCACTAGTTTCAGTGGGACTTTGCTGTTCCATCAATGTTCTATCTGTTTGGGGTGTGTGTTTTTATTAATAACTCCAGATGGATTCAAGAACTGGACGTTGGCATTTTAAACAACTTGACATGGAGAACTAAGTAGAATTCAAGAAACCTGAAATGGATGGATAAGTTCAAGACTGGGCAGCAAATCTAAACAAATAACATGTTTTCATCAACCAACATGGGGATATGACCCACTGAATATTGGATATAGTTCCTGTTGTTCCCGACCGAATGGGTTATTCGCAATATGAAGAAATATCATGAACTATCTGGGCAAATTATTATAATTCACTAACCTGAATTAAGGCCATTATTCCACGTTGCTTGTTGGATCCCTGCCCAGCGATTGCCCAAGCAGGAACCCCGTTCTTGTCCTGAGATTGCACCATATTAGTGCATTGTCAATGGGTGATACCTGCATCCATGCGTCTTGCACGGACCCGTTTCATAGCCAACTTTGCCTTCCTTGTTCTCTCACTGAAACTTTCTAGTCCCCGTTCAATGTCCTCGGTCCATTGCTCATTCGCTTCATGGAAGGTAATGCAGGGAAGTGCATGCGTTCCCTTGCCCTGCATTAACAAAGTTTGAAGCAAATCGTACACCTCTGTTTGGTTTGAAAATTGGGGTCGTCCAGAAAGACCTGTGGACCACGCATTATGTCCCTGCCAGTAGAGGGATCTCACTTTTCCCATTGTTATGTGCGCTGGTATCAGCCGCTTTTGTACCAATCCAAAAAATTGTGTCACCATGCAGTACATGACAGTAGCTTGTTCAGCTAACGTTGTTTGGAGGCATTCTGCATCTAAATGTGACCTGGGTTGAATTACAAGCTCCTCTCCAGCTCTCCAGCGTCTCACTGGCAGCCACATTTGCTGCTGCAAAATCATACTGAGTGCTACCTCAGCCCAGGCAATTCCTGGGTCACCTTCTTGCATTTCCAAAGGCCACCGGCAATGTGAAAACCATTCAGCAATAGCTACCGACCATTGCAGGCTCCATGCTGTGTTCAGAACCTCTTCATCACCTATGTCAGCAGGAAATTCCCATGGCATGCTTACTTCCCAATTGCAAAACAATGTTCTTTTATCCCCCATTACAGCAACCGGAGGGTCATCAACATCATCAGCAGTTTTGGCTCTTGCGGTTTGTAGTCGCAAATTAAGATCATAGTATTGCTGCAATAGGACTTTTTGTTGACAAAGGTCTTGATGAAAGTCTTCAAGTTGCGAAACAACTTCCGGTAGGTGATTACTACAGGCATGATTAGCTAGGTGATCAGCCACCTGATTTCCCAACGCTCTGTAGAGCTCCAGTTCGTCCAAAATTCTACCCAAGTTGCGATGTGCTTTGACCTTGTGCACCCTCTTGCTTGGCTGCATGACCTGAAAAAACCTGAATAAAAGATCAAAGTCATCATGGTCAGCTAACTCCTCAATATCAACAGCGTTACGGCAAAGTTCAATGCAAGAAATAGCTGTAGAGCTATCCGTGTAGACATCAAATGCATCAAGCTGTTCAAAAAGGACAAGAATGGCTTGCATCTCTGCACGGTGAATGCATTGTCTTCCATAGGTACGTCCAACCGTCAGTTTTTGTAGAGTCTCTGGCACACGTCCTGTACATCGGTACATATATGCAAGATGTTTACGCAGACAATCTGAGGGACAAAGGTCACATACGATGGCAAAGGCAGAATAACGGCTATGTGGGCAATTGGGATACTTACAACTACCGTCAGTGAAAAAGGTAAGGTTATTAGCTCCCAAGTTCAACACCTTTTGGATCATGTTCATGTCAAGCTGCGGTTGTGGCATGGAAAACAGCAAAGCATCATGAAACTCATGGTGTGGATGCAGGTGCAATACAGGCAGCTCAACCAGATCTGGGTTGATGTCTTGCAGCTGTGTGACAAACTCTTGGAAAGGCATTCTAACCTCCTGAAGGGCCTGGCATTCAAAGGCCCGATGTTGTCGGGTGTCAGTTTGTGCAAAGCAAAGCGGGCACAGTCCATCTGACTCATTCCATTTGCTTTGTTGGTGCTTGGTCTGAAAAGCCCCGGAAATCTCACGCAACAGTAGCAGTCTTTGTTTGGGCTTGTATTTTTTCAACAGCCTGATAGTTTCAGCTTGGTTGATAGGTGGTAGATTGTAAAGTTTGACACGCTGGGTGTGATGCATAAGAAGTTGAGATTGCCAGCATACCCTCAGGGCATGTCGAATGTCAAACCATGTTCCATGTATAAGATTGCAAGTTCTCAGTGCAGTGACCATAATATCTCCTGTGGGCGAACATGTGAGTGCAAGTCTCTGCAAATATTCACGCAAAGAACTGGCAGGTCCTTGCGCATGTCCTGCATACAAACTTGGTTTTGAAACAATAGCCAAAAAACTGTTTCTGTCGTCAGCACATGCGCTTCGCAAAAATCTTCTGGCTTGCTTGACCGCACCCAAAATTGCACGAAAAAAGGGGTCCAGGTCACAGTTCTCAACACATTGAATGAAAATGGCCGAACTCATAGTCTGTATATGTTCTCCAACAATGGCTTCTACAATGGCAGTACGAAGGCTGGTTAGATTCTTTTGTCCAACCGGCATCAGCTCAGTTCCATACAAGGCAAGTGGCAAAATGGCAGTCTGTACCACATGGGATTTATGGGGAAGTGCCCAATTACTCTGCTTGATAACTTCCAACCTCATTTTGGCTTGTTCAAATCGTTGATGGACTATCCCCAGCTTCGAGTTACCATGATAGGTAAGCTGACATCCCAGGTCAGTAGCAGAAGTTTTGATGGTGGTAGCTGTCGCAGGAAAATGCTCGGTCATGCAAGCTTTTAATTTGGCCGCTCCAGAAGTGCTTGTACTCCAAATCCAAGTTTTATCCCAACTGATCTGCAACCCCATCCAGTCCACAAACCGAGACGTACACAGAGCAGGAGCTGCAGAGATGTGAATATCACCAGTCCAAACCGACCAATTATCCGCATATGCAGACATCCGTGGAAGGGGTGTTTGTTGTTCCAGTAAATAACACCAGGTCTCTGCTGTAACAAGCATTGCCACAACTGACCATGAATCACCTTCCGGGCATCCATTTGACGTGGGGATGATGTGACTAGTGCATTTGGAAACATCCCAGTATCTAGTCATGGCATCCAAAGAATTTGCCCATTTTTGAACCAATCTGGCAGGGATGCCCATAGCACACATGAGCCTTTGCACTTTACTACGTTGAAGTAGATTAAAACACTTTTTCAGGTCCAGAGTTAAACCTGTGACATCCTGATGCGCTGCACGCTGCAGTTCTAGATATGCCTGCATGTTGTAGCTTGAGGCAAAGGCACCTCTTTTTGGGAGCATGCCTGTGATGGCTGAAGACATGTATCGTGAAAAGTGTTGAAGGCACCTACGTCCACATACCTTACCCCAGAGCCTATAAAGTGTAGCAAGCACCGTGATTGGTCTGCAGTTGTCAGGCGTAAGTTCATGCTTTTTTGGAATTGGCACTGTTCTGGCAAGCATCAAGTGTTGTGGAAACTGCTGCATTCCCACTACTATCTTAACAAGCTGGGCTAAAAGCCTGTCTGGGATCATTTTCAATTCACGAAAGCTAAATCCATCTGCCCCAGGTGCTGATGTCGCTTTCGCAGTACGGATGGCATGTTTCCAGTCAGCAAGATTACCCTCAAAATTATCTTCCAAAGGTGGCAGCTGTGGCAATCGCATCTCAAAAGTTTCCATGAAAGTATGCTCATCTTCTTCAGTGTGATTCCAGAAAGGCATCCAATACTCATTGAGTGCTTCAAAGACTTCATGCTGATGGAAGGTAGGTCCTGCTTGTGTGATTTGAACTTCCATTGTGTCTTCATCTGAAGTGAAATGTCCTTCAACCACCAAATAGTGATTATGAATCTGCAAGATGCGAGTCTGTGTGCCATTGATGTTCACCGGATGCAAACGGGTGAA